AGCCTTTAGCTACAAAAGTAGCTCCCTTCTCTGGAGTTCCATGTTTGAATGAGGGTAAGCGACCTCTGGGCAACCTGCATTGACCAACTTGAGAGGATTCGCAACTTGAGAGGATTCGCCAAAGTCCGAAGATTCTGTCTAAGAATAAAAAAACGACTCACGCATGCACAAACCATCTCAAGCTTGGCGTCCGTGGTCTGCAAAGAAGTCCATTGGGATCAAGAAACAACATCGCTCCAAAGGCCCAAGGCGCCGTGCTCGCGGGGGGGGGAGGTTTTGCGGGTGTTGTGGGCTCTCTTCATAAAACTTGGTCTTCGGTTCCAAAAGAATGATCTAAGTCTCTTGGTCCTTCGAGCAAACTTCTTTCAGGTCGAGTCGAGCAGCCTGTGCCTCGTCTGATCAGTTGACCTGGGACCCCCTATGGCCGTTTTGTTTTTGGTCATACGCCTTTGACCAAAAAAAATGGCCATACAGTTTTTTACGGCTTTTTTTCAACAACATGTCGAAAAAATATGGGTTTCATACGGGTGATTTACGCAAATGACCGAAAACTCATGGCCATACGGGCTTCGGCCAAATACGGGAGTTTGACCGAAAAAAACAGCCATACGGGGTGCCAGGGAGTCAAAACTTGGCACTACAAAGGTCTGCCCAACATCCAAAGACTTAAAAGGTCGGTAGCTAATCATGAATGGGTGCCAATTCTTTCTTAATACCCCTGGTTTGGTTGGACTTTCGAGGGATATGGAAGCCAAGCCCCATTTTTGGGCGGGGTCCCCATCCTGTGGAGTTTCGAACACCCTCACTTTGGTCTCCCAAGCTTTGGCAAAGTACCCCAGCTTCCGGCAGGGAAACGCTTCGTTTGCCGAGGACAAGTTTGAGTTTGACGTTTTCGGGTGAATCGCAACGGCGGAAGCCTATCCACAACATTATCTTGCGCTTGCCTTTTGGCGAAAACCATGAGACTCATAATTTCTCAAATCCTGGTATTAAAATGGTGATCCCAGAACCATGCTTCAAGAATTAAGAAGGCGGATATCCGAAAGTACTTATGGCTGGGACTGTTCCTTACTAACCTTCACTTACCCGGGTTTGATTGTGACTCATTTCAAAAAACACAATGGATGTCAAAGTATCACTATATTGAAGCCAGGTAGAAGCATCTATGACCAATCAACTGCAAGTTTTGCAGGGGATGGTGCGTGTCTTATCCAACAAGAACCGGCCCAATAGTCCAAGTACTAACCCCTCCTTCTTACTTGGAGGGCTTCATTCGCCGCGCAAACGTTCTCCGCTCAAGTCGTGCTCGGGACGACGCATAGTCCCCATCCAGCATGTGCCGCTCGACCCGCCATCCAAACCTCACAAAGGATTCATCCGGCAAAAATGGGAAATGGGCGGGTCGATTGTTTGGTGTATCCTGCTTGTCCTGTTTGGGAGTCTCTAATCCTAAGGGTGCCTACCAAATATCCCTTACCTCGAGAACCATTTGGCACCCTCCGAAACCCGCAGCGGTTTCGAAGGGAAACCGAAACCGCACGAGGCACATGGAACGTGGAAATGGCTCATGTCCAACCGTGCCAAATAGGGGGTCTGGCAAAATATGAGCCCCGGCTTTTTTCTCCTGATGTCTGAGGTACCCCACCAACTCACATGGAACCTGATGTTCGGGACCCTTCAAAAGGAACATGGTCTAGACCAGGACCTTTTCGAACGTCGAAGGGTTCCATGTGAATGGGCTTGTGTACCTGGAGTCTCCATGACCCTTTAAGAATGGGTACATGACCCCTTTAAGAATGGGTAATGACCAACCATTGTTCAAGGGTCAGAAGGAGACTCTAGGCACTTGGGCCTGGGCTTTCACCCAACTCTCCCAACGTCGTGCACGTTTTGAGGCTACCCCGAAAAGGCCTGGTTGGAGCGGACACCGCCATAAAGCCGCTTTGAGAGTCCGTTGAGATGCATGGCCAAGCTCAGTTCCTAAGTCTTAAGCATTTAAAGGGAACCAGAAAAGATGGAACCGTTGACCCGGTCCCTCTAAAAAACAAAAATGGTCTAAACCACCCGAAGGTCGAAGGGTTCCACTCGTGACTTGGGGCTGCCCAAGAGAAGCTCTCGGGATTCCGAGACCCAATGCCCTGAGGCACAGGCTGCAGTGTGACCTTCGTGCGGTCGGGTACATACCTGGCGATCCATTCGACTCGAATTCGAGTGGCGCTTTGCCACAGGCAGGAAAAGAACTGGTTCATGAAAACCTTTTGGTGTTGGTTTCCCTAAACTTCCCCACCTTCTTGGCACAGGAGCTCCTCCTAGCAGCCAGCCGTTCAAAAAAAACTTCCCCTGGCCAAGCCTTGCATGAGGTCCCGAAGAAGGAGGGCCCGAATCGAATACGATCTGAGTTCAAAAGCCAGCGATTTAACCCGAAGTGGTGCGTGGCTTTCACAGGGCCACGGCTCACAGGGCCAAATCGGTTTGCCAGCGAACATCAGATCCAATCCAACCACAATCCCGAGCTATGGGTGGTGCATTCGCCGACCCCAAACTGGGATCCCATTGGCTTTGACCCACGGCCATGGATTGGTCAAGGGAATTGTTGTGTGGAAGGCTGACAGCGACATGTGCCCGCGAACGTACTATGTAAAACATGCAAGTGTGTGGTGGTGTGTACTCCTGCAAACGTCGGAAGAAGTCACTCATTTCCATTGCAACTGAACGATATCGCTGTCCCTGACTGAGCTTCCTCACATCTTGACCCACTAAAAAGCTTCCTGGGCACGAGACACCAGATGAGACATTCTGGTGGCAACGGTGCCAGGCTTAGGTCTAGAAAACGGTTTGGATGCGCCTTTGGATTTCACCTGTTCTTCCCCCTGTTGGTCCTTTCTTGGAAATTGTTTAGTACTCTGTGAATATTCTACAGGGGTGGAACCACAAAAGACACATCGAAACCGTCGTCTAGACTAGCGGTCCATCTTTCCGAAAAATCCCGGAAAAATCTGAGGAAACCGCTGAATTAGCTTTTGAGAAGAGTCAAGTCGCGCAGTCATGGATTGCATGCCGCGGTGCCAGGCATATTTTTGAGCCACGGCCAACACATGTACCTGAGGCGTACCTGAGAAAGGTGCAGTCCTTTTTCTTTATGCAACAGGACATCGTGTCGCCTCTGACCCTTCAGGCGGCCCGAACACCCAAAGATGTGACATTACTGGCTTACATGTTCATGCTCTGCCTGCGGACCGTGTCAAAATGTGACTTCCCTGGTATCCTTTCAGAGCAAGCAAGTATGTAAGTTTCTTTGCTTGAGGGTGCCGTGCGTTTTAAAAACACACCAACAGGAAAATCGAAATCCATGTTTGGGGTCGTTTGGGGTCCCCTACAAAAAAAAACTACTTCCTGAAGCACCCCAACGTGCCTTTTGTTCCTCACCGATTTTTGCTCGACCCCTCCAAAAACGCTCGCCCCCGAAAAACGCTCGATCAAAGCCCCTTCTTCCATCCAGAGGAAGGCGGGCAGTTGCTACGATATTTTCTTAAATAAGAGATACACTCGTTTGCTGACATGTGCGCTCGTTTTGCGGATAGTTGAGCTCGATTTGCACTTCAATTGTTGCTCGCTCTTTCAGCGACCGATCATCTTCGAAGCAGGACAAGGTGTACGTTCGGCATATATTTTGGTGACGACCCCTGGCTTTGCAATACGTTTGGGCCAAGGGCCGAAATTTGGGTGTGGCTCAAAATCAAACAGGAGGCAAACCGCAGGTGGTCCATGTTTCCACCAGGGCAACCCATTTTGGACTTCCGGGTTTTTTGGGCCACAGCCATTTAACGAAGGGTGCTCCAACGGCCCAAGATCAGGGAAACGGAGCGTCCCTTGGTGGTTCTCCGCCTCAGGTCAATGCGGCTGCCGTCGTCGCGGATGATGTACCTCCCAAACTGGCCACGCCCATGGGTGGCTTGTATCGACTTGGTACCCCATTTGCCGGTTTTAAAGGAGTAAAAGACTTAACACGTCACCAATGGGGGAAGGGGGGGTAACCTCAAAAAAGGCCAACCTAAATGGCAACCCTTGGAATGTGAGATTTGGGAAGGGTTCGCGCCTGAGAAGCATACGGCTCGCGCCCTTTTTGGGAGGAGAGGGGTTGGGGCTTTGGCGCACTCTCGGCAGTCCTATGCGGCATGTGGCATCCCTGTCATAAAATTCTAGGTCCTCCAGTTAGTAGAGGTTGGAATAAGGGTACCACCTTTTCTCTGTAGTCTATTTTAGTAGACGAAAACCCTCCCAACCAAAAAAGAAACGGCGAGAGGTGGGGCACCAATTGCTGGACCTAGAATTACATGAACTCAGAAGTCCGCCAGCTGTCAGGTCGTTGTTGGCCGCAACTGGACTCCTTGTCTGGGCTGTTCAAAACGGAGGGTTGGCTAATCCTAATCCATAATCCTTATAGAGAAACCACGAAAGGGACCCCTTGCGTAACCGAAAAGAAGGATGAAGGCTTACCTTTGAACCGCCGAGCTTGTTGAAGGGGAGTTCTTCGAGAAAATCAGATCCAGCAGACTGGAACTTGTACCAATTGGGTGCTGTAGATCCCCCAGCAAAACGTGTTTAACTTTTTGCTGCTTGAAAGGAAATACGAGGGGAATCCAAAAAGTTAAAGTCTAAAGATCCAACCCAATAGCAGCAGAGAACAGAACATTCCGCCAATCATGTGATTCTATAAGGAAAGTGGCCGCGAAGCCCTATCTTCGACCATGCTACTCAGCCCGGTTTCTTTGGAAGGCGCGGCTGGTGTCTCGCCCGAGGCAACACAAAATCCATCCGGGTTTCGGTGGCCTGAGGTTGAAAACTCTTTCCCAATGAAACTCAAAGCACAGTGACCAAGCACCGGCCCTAAGGCAGCTTACCCAAATCAGACAGACAAAGAAACTTGGACACTGAGCAGGCTACATGGTTAGCCCTAACTCGATTCTTGTCCGTCGACTCAAACTGGAGCTACGCCTTTTCCGCTTCGCAGCCGACTCGTCTTACCGACGCTTACCGGGAACGTGCCGTGGTCCTAGTGAGACTTGGCGGTGCGATGGCAAAGAAGTCCGTTCCTTGTCCTTGGCAGAGTCCCAAACCGCCTGAAAACGTGTCTGTAGTTTAAAAAAAAAAGTTCACCTTTTGGGCCCATGACTCCAAACTTGGGGCATGGGTCAAAATGTTTAAGCACCAGGAATTGGACCACAGGGCTTAGTCCATGTTTCTACTTAGGGTTCTATTTTGGGATCTTTGACCCGCAGCCACATGTCTGTAATTCAACCTGGGTGTCCCCTGTTTCGAGGGTGCCCCTGTTGACTTTCATAAAACTCGGCCTCCCCTGTGAAAAGCGCCCATCCAGCCAAATTCCGCATTTTTCCTGTTTCCAACCATGAAACTGGACATGAGGGTTTTGGAAGACTGTCATCCCAATACAAAACCTCTTGCCCACACGACTGTTGGAAGCTATACTGACATATGGGTGTGGCTCGAAATTAAACAGAAGGGGTTACGCAGGTTTTGGTCCATGTTTCCACTTACCAGGGTTCCATTTTGGTACCGGTTTTTTGAGCCACAGCCATATCCACCCCCTAACCTACTTGGAACCTCTCCACATGTGGATTCAAGCGGGAACAAAAGGCGCCTTGTTTGTGGATCGTTGATTTTGACACGACAACCCTATCAAAAACGACCAGACCTTCCATTACATAAATGTGCGCTTTTTTGGTGTCTTGTTGGAGATATTTGCTAATCGCACACTTTCAAGGAAACGGGCCCAAATTTGAATTCGAGCATTTTTGGTTGCGGCGGCTTCGTTCTCATGAGCGCGCAAACCGAGCGCAGATCCGAATCATGTAGCAGGTTGTATTGTTAATGAGCCCGTGTTCATAAAACAAGCGTTGTTTGGGGAAACGAGCACTTTTTGGATTATGTTTCCAAGCATCTTTTCAAGACTTTTGTACATCTCTTTTCGAGGCTGCTAAGACACCCGTTGACATTTTTCTCTTTGTTGGGCAAGAGGCCGAAGAGGACGGACTCTCTCGCCTTCCGTCCTTCCTTGCCCCCGCCTTCACCAGAGCTCGCGCCGAGACGCGAGAAGCTCTTCTTGCAGGAGGGGCAAAGGAGGCCCTTTGGCTTCGCCTCCGGCCTGGCTCCAGCGCCATGCGAGTTTTGAGGCCAAGCGCGGCGCTGGAATCTCTGATTCGATGAATTAGAATATGGCGGTGGTTGTCAAAAATATGGTAACCCCAAAACGGCTTGCCCTGGTAAATGGAGACATGGACGGAAATCTGCGGTCTTTTGGGGGTTTAATTTTGACTCATGCCCATATTTCACCAACCTGAGATAAGGTGGTTGGGAGGCTATTCCCCACATAAACCACCATTTGGGGTGAGGTTGTGCGAGGTAATTCACCCAGTCTGATTCTGTCGTAACCAGGCGAAACCAGAGAGGTTTGATAGAAGTAAGCCCTGGATGCCTTCTCAGAAGATACCTTTGGGCCTTGGGAGCCACACCCCCGCTAAATCCTCCAGTGGAGAGGTTAGATTAAGGGTATCATTTTTTTCTGTAGTCTATTTTAGTACGGGAACCCTCCCAACCAAAAAAGGGGTGGGAGGTGGGGCACCTAGCCAGAGGACCTTGCCCGAACCGAACATTCCTAAAAGATGGGTCTCCTTTTCAGTCAGCAACCCCAGAACGGCGCCTCTGGAGGCTGGGCCAGGTGTCAGCCGATTGCACGGCCTGCACCGGATCCAAGGCGCGCGTGTGCGTGCGCGTGCGTGTGTCTGTGTGTCTGTGTGTCTGTGTGTCTGTGTGTCTGTGTGTCTGTGTGTCTGTGTGTCTGTGTGTCTGTGTGTCTGTGTGTCTGTGTGTCTGTGTGTCTGTGTGTCTGTGTGTCTGTGTGTCTGTGTGTCTGTGTGTCTGTGTGTGTGTGTGTGTGTCTGTGTGTCTGTGTGTCTGTGTGTCTGTGTGTGTCTGTGTGTCTGTGTGTCTGTGTGTCTGTGTGTGTCTGTGTGTGTCTGTGTGTCTGTGTGTCTGTGTGTCTGTGTGTCTGTGTGTCTGTGTGTCTGTGTGTCTGTGTGTCTGTGTGTCTGTGTGTCTGTGTGTCTGTGTGTCTGTGTGTCTGTGTGTCTGTGTGTCTGTGTGTCTGTGTGTCTGTGTGTCTGTGTGTCTGTGTGTCTGTGTGTCTGTGTCTGTCTGTGTGTCTGTGTGTCTGTGTGTCTGTGTGTCTGTGTGTCTGTGTGTCTGTGTGTCTGTGTGTCTGTGTGTCTGTGTGTCTGTGTGTCTGTGTGTCTGTGTGTCTGTGTGTCTGTGTGTCTGTGTGTCTGTGTGTCTGTGTGTCTGTGTGTCTGTGTGTGTCTGTGTGTCTGTGTGTCTGTGTGTCTGTGTGTCTGTGTGTGTCTGTGTGTCTGTGTCTCTGTGTCTCTGTGTCTCTGTGTCTGTGTGTGTGTCTGTGTCTGTCTGTGTGTCTGCGGTGCGTTTAGTGTTGCGTGGGTAGGCTTGGTGCGTTTAGGCTTGGCTTAAGGTGTTTGGGGTGCGTCTTAGTGTGGGTTTGGGGTGGGTTTGGGGTGGGTTCAGCGCTTGGGGATGCTTAGGGCGCTTTGTTTGTTTGGGGCCGCTTAGGTGGTTTAGGGGTATTTAATGTGGGGTTTAGTGCGAGTGTAGGGTGGGCTACAGTAGAAGTAAGACCACACGCGTGCAGTAGAATCTTGCAGGCAAACCTAAGTCCGAACAACAAGAACAAGATGCCCGCAGCCCGGTTTTCCCCTCAAACCAGACATCAGCTCAAAGATCCCAATCAACCAATCAAGGAACCAAACAGTCAATCAATCAACCGGCGCACACGTGACACGTATTCCAAAGGTGGGCAGCAGCGACTTTCGGCGCCCCAAGGCCTCAAGACCTTCGGCCTCCATGGGGCAGAACTTGGCATCCAAGAACTGCCCGCCCTCCAGGGTCAGGATCTCCCACAACGGCGCGGAGTCCCCATGGAAGCCTCAGGAATTTGTCTTTCCGGAACCAACCTGAGAAAGGATACCATCATAGAAAAATATATACTATGTGAGGTGGTATCTGTATATATATATATACCATATATGTAGCGTATCTATATATATGTATATATATATGGACCTTGAAGGCTGGGTTGCAACACCCGAAGGGTTCCCTACAGGTCACCCTTGAAGAGCGCTTGCTTGGATGCATCGGATTTTGGTGCAACTGCTATGTGCGTTTCCTTTGCCGAAGCCCGCACCTAAAAGCACAGCTGGCGTCCAAAGTCACCCTCCCAAGGGGCTGGCCTTGAAGGAGAAACCCAGCTGACTTTGCTTGGTGATCAGTAGGGAATGTGGTTGAATGAATCAGGGGATTCGGGAAAAGGAAAATCAGCAGGTGGTGTATAGGGGTCATTGCCTCATTCCCTGCTGATCAGCAAGTTTGATGCCCCCTGAAAAAAAAGCTTTGAACAAGGCTTCAGCAAACAGAATGTTCTGCTCAACCACATGTCGCTGAGAACAGTGGGGGTCAAACTTTTCGGATTTTGAATATATAGCCGTTCTCAAGCACATACGTGGACAACGACTACCAAGTTTCAGTTCAATTGATGTCTAGCCCACCTGTCCGTAGATGTCATCAACTCGATTTCAGCAAGGGCCCTTCTCGGAATCTCATGCCCAACTTGGGGAACACGGTTGCAAAACGAGGCCCAAAATGGTGGGCCTTTGCCCCCAAGTTTCGCGGAATCGGGTGGATAAAAGCATTGAGGTGAACACTGGAAGGATCCGGAAGGATCCCTTTGTGCCAAATCCCAGGCAAGCCCTTATAGTAGGTAACCACCTATGTTCTTTTCGTTTATATTGGGTGGTTCCCATGATTACCTGACAAACACCATCCTCAAAAGCACACCCCGGAGAACCCTGTGGGGAAAGGTTCCTGAACCCGAAAATCAGCGCAGGCATCAAGTTGTGGCCCAAATTTCAAATTTCCCATGGCTCAGCCTTGTGAAAATGTGCCGATGTGTGCGGAAACGAAGCATTCTGATGCCAAACAGGGTGAATTCACGACATCATCCTATGTGGCACACGGTCTAAGAACACACCCTTACTCAAACAAATCTGACATCCCTAAATCCAGGAAGGGCATGAAACAAGTACTCAAAGACTACTCCACCAAGGACAAAGCCACTAAGAAACCACCCTGTTTTCACTCCGGCCCCGTTTCAGTCTCACTTTCCCACAGGACAGGGTGATCAACTTTGGATTCTTAAAAAAAACATCTACCAAATCAAGGAAGCCACTCTGTTAACTTCGCTTTGCGCTTTGATCCATCCGGCGCCGTTTGGTTGCCAGGGCGCACTCGTCAGTGAGCAGGGCGCAGCAGTCGCTGCAGGGCAAATCCGCAGCAGGGCGGAACACTGTGCCTCAGATGACCAGTAGCCATGAAAAAAATGAAAATCCGCGTCCGTTTTCGGTTGCTTGACTTTAAAGCAATCGGAACCCTTTCCCCAAATTCGAAGGTCCTAAGAAAAGGACTCTAAAGGAATCGGACCCCTTGCCAAGAAAAGGCAAAAATGTTCCAAGGGGAACCCTTCCCCCCAAAGAAGTTCCGAAAACAAAAAAAAAAGAAAAAGGCGGAGGCGGAATCCGCTGGTTGCAACTGGAGGTGCAGAAGTGGTTGTTCCGAAAGAGGACGCACACGTCCCCGTGGCTCACCTGGCAGAGTTGCAGGCGAGGCCCGGAAACCCGGGAAAACGGAGCGGCGTGTTTTTTTGGGGGGCAGGGGGGGGGGGGGGCGGAAACCCGATGCAACAGGGATCCTTACAGAAAAACACCTGAGCCTTGCAACTTGTAAATGGTGTCCAACTTTACTTTGGTGGAAAAAGCAACATGTTTCAAATGGTTGCAAAATGGAGATCTTTTAAGGAGCCCTGTGCAAGCAAACCCCTTTTTGTCCAAAAGAAACTTTGCACCCAGCCCAGAGGTCCCAATCGCCCCTCACAAGGTCCCTTGCTTTCCGTTTCGCTTGGAGTTCCGCCAAGTATTGCCGAGGAAACTTCGGGAACGAGATCTGGCAAAGCGACACTTTCTTGGGAGCCCTGCTTCGCAGGTAAAGAACCCTGACCTTTCCACCTTGGGTGAATAAGCCAGGGTCGAATCACAAATCGGCTGGCTTCGAGTGTTTTCTTTTCGGACACTGGGTCTGAGCCGGGAAAATGAGACCTGACAAATCAAAAGGAGGCACTTGTATTGGAAAACTCGGCGTTCCCAACGTAGGAATAGTCTTGCTGGTGCTCATTGGGAATGCGGTTCAATGAACTCAGGGATTCCCTGAAGGGGTTCCCACACGTTCCCTGCTGAGCACCAGCAAGTAGTTCACTGTGAAGACATCCAAGGGCTTCCCCACGGTCTGACTTGCTGAAAGGTTCTGGAAATCGAAGGCGATCGATCGCCTGTTGAAAATCCTTGCATACTGATGGGAAAACTAAATTGGGACACCCAAAGGCTACAAGGCCGATTCGTTTTGAACTGAGGCAACCTTTTTCCCTTTGGGCGTCGCTCAAGATTAAACAGCTCAGGTCGTAAGGCGCCAATGTGGGTACCACTTTTTGAGCCGCAGCCTCCATCTCCTTTTGGGAGTGGACCCTCGTTTGGGGCGAAACTCGCTACAGCGGTTTCCCTGAAAGACATGTAGAAACCTACAAAAACCGTCGGGCCCTGGCGAAAAAGCAGACACTCCTTGATTGTCTGACTCCATTCTACATATCATCCTCCTAGAAAGTAGTTCCATGATTTCAGTCGGGCAACCAGTTAAAAACTCTACATGTTATCTGCAACACTTATAATTCCAAAAGCTGAATTAAGGGATCCGCAAGTAAAGCACCTTTATCGTGGTGAGCTCGTTCTACCCCCGATCGGTGAGCTCGCGATAACATTGGCAGATGGTATGGTTTGCTTCACAAAGTAAGTCACTGGTAACATGTAAAAAATACGAGGACGAGTCGCGTCTCCAAACACTGGAAAGTAAAGAACCTCAGGCAAACTTTGGCAGGGGGTCCAAACCAATGGTATCCCATTTTGGGGTAGGTGAATTCACCACCCATTTTAGAACCTATCTTAGTGGTTGGATTGAATCGGATGTTCACTGAGAACTAGCCGGAACTTTGGGTTTTGACCCATGGCCATACAAAAGAACATAGCGCAGGGTTACCTATATGGGCAGCGTCAATATGGACTTTGGGCTCACCGATTTGAGTCTCAATCACAACCCGGTACTAAAATGGTCTACCCAGAACCATGTAAAGAATTGAGAAGACGGCCGCAACTATTTCTGGGTGGGCCTGCCCCTTACTAACCTTCATCTACCCAGGTTTTGATTGTGGCTCATTTGAACTTTGGGCTTTGACCCATTTCGGAGAAAGCGATCCATTTCGGATCCGAGCTCCGGGCCTGCGCTTGCAGCCCTTCTATGCCCTCGCCAGTGGCCTGGGCCCGGTTCGCCTGAAGCCACTCCTGAAGCGCGGCATCGGTAGGGGGGAAGGCCCGGAGAGGAATCTTGACCTTGGAGAAGTTTTCGGAAAAGTTCGAAAATATTTAGCAGTTAAGTGGATTTGGAGTTCAACCACTAAACCACAATAAGCAAAAATGTAAAATGCTTCCCAACAACAACCATGGAATGGGGGTGATTTTGAGTGAGCCACAGCCAAATTGACAATGAGACGAACCTATGCGCAACTGTTCACAACAATAAAATCGCAAGGACCTACATCATGAGTGTTTGCTCGTTTTTACCCGATCGGTGAGACCAGGTAAACAATATAAGAACAAATATTGGAAAGAGGATCTTTAAACCCAAATTTATAATCATGAATATTGATATTATAGGGGTTCTGAAAACTGTGGACCCCCTTTTGGTTGGTAGCTAAAGAGAACCCCCAAACAAAAGCCAACCGTTTTAGGGGACGACTATGATGAGAAACACCCGTATTGGAATAGGTTGTGCAATTTAACCCCCGATGACATGAGGCACACACAGCATGATCCTCTGATTCTGTTTTATATTTGGTCTGCCCCTAATATGAGTGTCTTTTTTTGGGGGCCCACAAATTGTTGTTCCTGTTGGTTTCCCTTCAAACAGGGTGCCCTCAACAAACGACACTATAAGATAGCTTTGGAGACCCCAAACGACATCTTTTCGACTAGGTGCTCGGGCATCGAACCGGTTCGGAGTTCGGAGTCTCCTGCAAAAAGCTGGCCCTGCACAGCTTCTCCTCCTCTTCCTCCGAGGGAGCCCGCTGCTCCTACCGCAACTTGGAAGCACGGCGATCGGTGAAACTGAACAAGACGCCGCTGCACAAACCGATTGAAGTGTGCGAACATGAACAATTATGTCATGTCGGATTTCTCAAGGACCATAGCTAATCAGGGGTGGCTCCCCCTTGCATGGAAATGATCGATTTTTTCGGGGGTCGACCATTAGGGGGCTCCGGATTGATTTGAAGCTAGTATTGCACCCTGGTACTGTATCCTACTTCTTCAATTGCGTGTTGTTCAATTGCAGTTTAGTGAGGCTCCATTTCCTATGCGCGTTTCTCGTGAGTGTACCCAGGTCTCCCTTGGCCACAGTAGACGGAACATATTCACCGATGCTGTGAGTTGAAGATCCCTTCGAGCACTTGCCGTTCTCCTGTTGAGAGGGGGGGCCCTGAAAACAATGAGTCAGGAACTGGTCTGTGTCGAGTGCTCCAACCCTTAATGAAGGGAATCGAGTTCTAGCCTGGCTAGAGACCAAGTTTCCACCCCACAAAACGTGAATGTCTCACAATCAACTGACCCCTTAAAACTCCAAGCCCTGGGGAAGTTAATCTTTTACAGACATATAGCCCATGTTACCCCCAAAAAGTTGCAAAGTTGTGTTTTTAAGAGGTAAGTCAAGGGTCGTTCGAAGGCTTCCGAAGGCTTGCTTGTCCCCAAATCCATCTCCCTGCGAGCGCGGCTACGCGCGAGCGCTCGAGTTTCCTCCGCGAGGATGCACTGGAGCTCCGCACTGAAGCCCAAGTAATCCATGAGGTCGTTCCAGTTGGGCGCCACTTTGTGCACCTAACCCAGCCAGCCGGCCAAACACAACAAACTTTTACAAAATAACGCAAACACAGGGATCCTTACATTATACACCTGAACATTGCCTTGCAAATGGTGGTTTCCTTTTATTTTGGTGGAAAAAGCCATGTTTCAATTAGTTGCAAAATGTATCTTTTAAGGAGCCCGGAAACACCTTGCTGGTCCTCAGCCATGGAATGATCCCAAGAAACACCCATCCACATGTCCTTTCTTCCGGACTTCCCGGATCCCGTGCATTCCCAAGACCCGGACTCGGTGCCAACCCCCCCGTTGCCAACCCCCCCGCGCCCCTCGCTCGCCATCTGCCAGCCTCTCTGTCCACCCAGACGTGGAACAGCTGAAGCTTAAAGAGTTCGAAGAGTCCCGTGCTGGAGCCTCACGAGCCCGCGAGGATCTTTGCGTTGGGTGCCAGTGGTTTTCCCCCCCCCCATTCCTTTTTTTGGGGGGGTGCCTGTGCTTTTTTTGCAGGGAGCCCCGTTTTTTTGGGGGGGTGCCAGTGTTTTTGTTTGCTTTTCTTCCGAGGAACCCCCCGCCAAAAAAAATAAGTGGTGTCCCTTTGGTTTCCCTTGGAACCAACCCAAAAGGGGTACCAATTGGGCGCGTGGTGCATTGTTCAGTGCGCCCCTTTTGTTACTTTGGACTAAAGGAGATTTAAAAGGAAAACATGACTGTGAGAGTCCAAACTTCCCTTTGACAGGCCAAGAGGTCCTGGCGCGTGCTGCCAACTGTGGCTGATTGTCAAACACTTGTCAGTTGACAGGTTTTGGGGCACTGCCCAGTGACCCTGGCAAGAAGGACAGCTTTGTATATTGACTGTATGTCTCTTTTTATGTGGTCGAAGGGGCCATGCCATGCACCAATCAAAAGCACACCAAACACATCCCCAGAGTGCACTATTCAGAACCTGCTTGGTGCACCCAAAAAGTCAACAAAAAGTTGGGGCAGGTGCCGCTAAAGCCCGGCCAGCGCACCTAAATCCTCCAGTATAGAGGTTGGAATAAGTTGATACCCGATTTTTTTTCGGTCGTCTAATTTAGTAGGGGAACCCTCCTAACCAAAAAGGGGTGAGAGGTCGGGGTCTAATGTTGACCCAGGATTAATAAACCCGTCACACTAGGGGGGTGTTCCCTCCAAAAGTGGTCTGAATCCCCACTAAAAGGAATTGGACACCCCCCAATCAAAATCAACCAGGGGTTCTGCTTAATCCGGGGTTAACACTGGGGGACCTAGGGTTAGAAGAAGGGTACCATTTTTTTCTTCTGTAGTCCATTTTAGTAGGGGAACCCCCCTGAAAAAAGGGCAACAAGCGAACAAGGCACTGCTGGGAGGCCTAGGCGCTATCCTCAAACTCCCCGCAGTCGCTGAAGTCGCAGTTCACCTCGAAGCAATTTGAGACTTTCTCGGGACATCGACGTGATGTGCGGTCAGCTGGACGCGAGGTGTACTTTCTTTTGGCGAAAATAGATGGATATCCTTGGTAGATGAGGGAGAACCACCCGGCAAACCAGGAATCGCCCTCTATTGTTCAACCAAACCAAAAAGGACACCTGATGTGGACGCCTTTGTGCCCCAACAAACCAGCTATGGGGTCAGCGAGCTTGTGCAAACATGGACTTCTCACATGTGGGTGTGGGTCAAGATTCAACCACCAGGCGACTGCAGGTTTTAGTCCATTCATGTTTCCATCTACCAGGCTTCCCCGAATAGGTACCTATTTTTCACCCACACTCATGTGTCCGAGAAATTTGGGTGGTGTTCTCCGCAGGCGAATGGCGTGCAAAAGGCTTTTGCAGAAGCTCAGATTCGAGGATCCCGGCTGATCTTCCATGGGCTCTCTTTGACACGATTTCCGAGTCGGCTACACTTTCCGATCAGAGTCAGAGGAGGCTTCCGAGGAACGTATCCGTGCACTCCAATCATCAGCTTCCATTGAAGGCAGGGCAATTTGCAGGTCAAAATTCGGGGTCTGAAAACTAAACAACAAAACAACACACCCCTCCCAGCACCTCCAACTTGCCTGCTTTTGTCCATGTCCAAACTCTCAAGCACTGCCCAAACAGCACTTGTTGGGGGGGGGTCCTTTTTGTACCTTGTGCGCAAATGGCTACCAGATTTAGCACTCGGTAAGTCCCTTGCTGAGTGGCTTGGTCCCAAAAGAGTTCGCACAATTCAACTTCTGCGCCCCGAAACTTCACCAAGACAGGATGTTTGGTTCCTAGCGGCACCTTCTTTACAACTTTTCCAGGGCTACCTTCCGTTTCCATTCTTTGCAAGGGATCCTTCTTTCTATCACAACTCCACAGACCCCGGGAAACCGACTTGCTGATTTTCGAAAAGAACGATGGTTGAACGAATAGAACACATCCAAAAAACCCAGGCAAAACGATTTGCCGGTTTTTGGCTAAAGAATCAATGGTTGAAAAGAATGAATCAACCCCCCGGAACTTTGTCTTTGCCGTTCACATGTCATTTCCAGCGTCACAAGCACAATTCCGAACTCAGGCATTGTTGAGATTCCTCAGCATGCCCAAAACATGAGGGTGCCCCCCCCCGCCCAAGACATGTAGGCTCAGCAACTGGATACTGCTTTTTGGGTTCCCTCTGCAAATCCGCGGGGGTTTTATGCACCGGGTTCACTGGAGGAATCCCGGGCTGTTAACGCCGAACATCAGCTGTTGGTGGTGTGGCGCCCGGTCGTTTGGAGCTTGGGGGGTGGTTGAAACCAGATCTACTCTCTACTGGGCTGTTCGTTTTCAGATCCCCCGCTAAAAGTAACTCATCAATTTTTAGCGGAAATCCAAGCACTAAACACTAAAAGGCTAAAAAGCTTTTTGGGATGGCTGGGAACCACCAAGTCTGGAACAAGAAACTCAACTCCCACCAATCCAAGACACGCTGACTGGTTACCTTACAAAAAAGCTTTGGCGGTTCAGGGGTGGCTTCCAATTCACTCTCAACAAGAACCAGGGACCCGTTCAAATCCCCAGTTCCCACCAATCCAACCCCCAACCTGACGCCTTACCCGAAAAACCACGCAACAAAAACCCAACTAAGCCCTAACCCCCCCCACCCCAATCAAAACAAATGCAAAAACCGTCCAACCTGACTTTTTCTATCGCCCTACCCGCAACCAAAAAAAAAAACCTGACGCCCTACCCGGCCCTACCCGGCCCTACCCGGCCCTACCCGCAACAAAAACAAAAAAACGCGACGCTGGCGCCGGCCAAGGTGCCAACATGCCGTCCAAGAGCTTTGGCATGCTCTCGATGACCTCCGTGACCGCCGCCGCCACCGCCGGGTCCTCCTGTTTCCGGCTGCGCTCGGGTTTCGGGTTTCCAGAGGCGACAAAGGGTCCGGGAAAGAGGACACACAACTACCTAGACTCTCCTTCTGATCCTTCAAAAATGGGTCCATGACCCCATTATTTTGGGGTAATGACCGCCTTTTTTTTTAGGGTCATGGAGACTCCAGGTAGGTCCGGCAAAATGAAACAACGAGGTTAGAATGGCCCTCCAGTAGAGAGGCTTAGGGTCTAGGGAACCGTTGTTTTTCCTCATTATTTTTCTTTCGGTAGTCTATTTTAGTAGGGGAACCCTCCCCCGAAAAAGGGTGAGAAAGGGCACTACTGGGGAGCTGGACAAATGCATCCCCATAACACTCCCATAAATTTCCATAAAACACGGGGGTGCTGGCCCATACCCTTTTGGTGAACTCTAATGGGGGTGGTTTTTCAAAAAAACACAAAAACATATGGGTTGTATACCTGGATCCTCAAACTTTGAACATGGGATGTTGCCTCAGAGTGACGGGATTCGCAGACTCGGGTTTCCTTCGGGGATTTGTTTTAGTGTATCTTCAAGTTGTTCAGCACCCAAATTTACCAATCCAAATTGTCCTTTTTGGTCGTTTGGCTCGAAAAATGGATGGCGATTCCTGGTTTACCTGGTGGTTGAATCATCTACCAGGGCTATCCATCTATTTCCCCAAGGACACCTACGACTTGGCCAGACTCAAAAGGTGGCGGGTCTAAATTCAATCTAGGGATCTTGGGATCTCGAATTCGCTCTGGATCCGCAGAGACACCGAAATCCCGGCCAAAGGAACCCCCGCCTCAGATCAAAAACAAATCGCTCCGACCCGATCGGGACCCGGGGCGGTCATCTGAAAGGCGCGACTGGTTCAATCAAATTGCACTGCCAGCTTGGAACCTGAAACCCTTGACACCAGGACAGTTTGGATTTCTAAACAGTCGTCTTTCCAGCAAGGTCTATTCAAAGGAAATTATGGTTGTTGCGGAACCACACAATTTGTAAATAGTTGTTGCAAATGGTCTTGCAGGTTGCAGGTGTGTGACCAAAGAAAGCCCCAACCCAAGTTGTTTACCCCCGTCAACAGTCTTCCCCAATAAAAACATCCAGCACCGGACAGGTGCGTGTCGGATTACTCCGGCCAATGCCCCCCAGAGGACACCAAAAGGCAACCAATACTAAGTCCAGAAATTCCTTGGAACTGCGGAATAGCTTGGATGCAACCAGCATAGGACAATAGGGGTTGTTGGACACACATTCAATACTTTTCTCTCAGAACAACCCCTCCATAGGTAATAGTTACATATATACATGTATGTATATATATACTGGAATTAGGACCCCCAAAAAATATATATATATATATATATATATATTGCCTGCTTAGTGAAAACAATGGGGACCCCCAAAAAGAAAACTAGACCACGGTTGGCCCGAAAGCAGAACATCGCAAGCGAGGTCGGCCCAACGCTGCAGGATGCGTTCTTTTTCCCTACGCGAAGCATTCGTGAAGCAAGCGCGAGACAGCACCAGGCAAGGTGCTCTGTGCAAGTTGCTCTGTGCAAGTTGCTCTGCGTAAGTTGCTCTGCGCAAGTTGCTCTAGGCAAGGCGCTCTGCGCAAACTGGTCGGTGCAAGTTGCTCTGCGCAAGTTGCTCTGGCGCTCTGCGCAAGGTCGGTGCAAGTTGGTCTGCGCAAGTTGCTCTGTGCAACTTGCTCTGCGCAAGTTGCTCTGCGCAAGTTGCTTTAAAATGCAAGTTGCATCTTGCGACGCCCGCCCGCGGACCAGGGAGGAATCGAACCCGCGACCCGCCGGTTCCGGGAGCAGGCGCGCGAACCACGAGACAACTCCCGAGGACCAGTTCGAACAACAAAAGTCGCAAAAACCTCGAGTTTTTGCACCTCGACCACGCCGATCCCCGCAGAGGGTCGCGCGAGAAATCGCAAAAAACCATTGGTTTTTGCACCTCGACCACGCCGATCCCCGCAGAGGGTCGATTTTCGTGTAGTGTCGTCGGCACTACCCCGCCGCCCTAAGAAGAGATTTTAACTCCTCGCAAGTCAATTGCACTTGACTCCTTGCACTTGCAACTTGCACTTGACTCCTTGCTTGTTTCAAGGAGTCATTGCAAGGAGTCATTGCAAGGAGTCATTGCAAGGAGTCATTGCAAGGAGTCAAGGAGTCATTGCAAGGAGTCATTGCAAGGAGTCATTGCAAGGAGTCATTGCAAGGAGTCATTGCAAGGAGTCATTGCAAGGAGTCATGAGAGCCATTGCAAGTTGCAAGGAGCCAAGTGCATGGAGTCAAGTGCAAGTCGCAAGTGCACGGAGTTAAGTGCAAGTTGCAAGTGCAAGGAGCCAAGTGCAAGGAGCCAAGTGCATGGAGTCAAGTGCAAGTTGCAAGTGCATGGAGTCAAGTGCAAGTTGCAAGTGCATGGAGTCAAGTGCAAGTTGCAATTGCAAGGAGTCAAGTGCAAGTTGCAATCCTTGCCATGACTCCTTGCAATGACTCCTTGCAATGACTCCTTGCAATGACTCCTTGCAATGACTCCTTGCAATGACTCCTTGCAATGACTCCTTGCATGACTCCTTGCAATGACTCCTTGCAATGACTCCTTGCAATGACTCCTTGCAATGACTCCTTCCTTGCAATGACTCCTTGCAATGACTCCTTGCAATGACTCCTTGCAATGACTCCTTGCAATGACTCCTTGCAATGACTCCTTGCAATGACTCCTTGCAATGACTTTCATGATGATGATTCCTTGCAATGACTCCTTGCAATGACTTTCATGATGCTGATTCCTTGCAACGACACCTTGTAATGACTCTCATGAGAACAACTCAAGTGAACCCAGCGGAAGAACCCTTCGCCATGCTTTCGGGGGAAAAAAAAAAAAAAAAACAGAAAAAGGGGAGCTAATTCTGGGGAAGTATATATATATATATATTATGCATATATATATATATATTATATATATATATATATTTGTTCAAACCCCTACAATAGCTAGGTAGGTGGCTGCATGGTTGACCTAACTATGATGAAACTTCTTAGGTATATAACGCTGGTTACAGAAAATCCCTCCTTGGTTTAAATGGTGCCTACTCCATGACCCTTTCAAATGGTCCATGCCCCCATGATTTTGGTCATGACTAACCATTTTTAAGGATCAAAGGAGACTCCAGGTACACCGAACACCTTTGGGTCCAGATCTATGGCTCTGCAGTCTGCCCTGCCTCCATCGCCTTGGCATTGAGCTCCCTGCAGAGGGCCGAGAGTTGGGAGACCAGGTCCTCGCACTGCAGGACATTTTGCAGAAGTTCTGCCCCAAATCTGGACAGTTCTAGAATGTCCTGCTGTTCTGATAAGGACTCGCATTTCACCTGTTGCTCCTTTTGCTTCGGCTCAAACACCAGAAAGCTGATGACGCTCGACAAAAAGACGTCTCTCGCGGCAGAAACACAATGGCACACACATCTGACATGCTTGTCACAATGAGAAAACAAAACCAAGCCAATGTCAAAGAGGCCACATTATGTCAAATCACTGGAAGCCTGCAGCTGTTGCCGAGTTTGGGAAAGAGGCATCTGTTTGTGACCACTAATACCAACATGGCAGCCAAACACCTGCAAACAATGAAATCAATCGGAGCGGTTTCCCACGGCTGGCAGCTCCCAAAACGTCCTGACTGCTGAGACTCTCCCCACTGACCTCCCAGCTGCCCCGCAGCCTCAAGGCAGGCGCCCGGCTTGCTGAATGCAAAGGGCCAAGCCCGAAAAATGGCTAAGGGGGATTCCCCGCCAAGTTATGTCGTCTGTGCACCCGGTGTGGTTCGGAATGCGGAACATCCAGGTGGACCTTTTGCGTTTGAAAGGGACAAATCTGCACCAGACTGATCCGACCCCTTGCCAAAAATGCTCTCTGAGTCCAGCAGTAAAACATGGGAAGGTGAAAGGCTGGGATCTGGACAGCTGAGGAGTGGACTCGCAATTGGGGCATTGTTAATGTTGACTTCGGATTAAATCCGGACTGTACGGCTCCAGTGTTTTTTTTTGATTCACGTATTTTGAAATCACTTCTGGGGGTCCAGGTGTTTTTCTTATCTTCTTGCAAAGGGCCTGCGCGTTGTCATTCGAAGCAAACCCTGGGAATCGCAAGGCCATGAACGTGGCCTTGCCTCGGCCTGAATCGGCAACATGTTTGTCCAAGGCCTAAACTAGTCAGACCCGAAAGATATGTAGTCTCAGATGCCCAGTGGCCATGGGACAAAAAGGGCATCCTTGGTTGGTTGGTTGCGTTTAATTAAGGGGGCAGCCTTCCCCCAAAAAAAAAAGTCAAAAAAGGAAGCAACCCACTGGGCTGGGTAGAAGAGCGACCCATATTGGTTTCGGACTCTTGAATGCAACGAGAAGTTAGTCTGCAAACATCAGGTGAGCACCGAAGCCTCTGGCAGCCTGTGGGTGACTCATTCCAGTGGAACCAAACTGAAGCCGGTGAAAGGAGAACCTATTCTCTCAAACTGACAAAAAATATCTGATTTGTTTGCTCCAAACAGCTTCTACTCCAGATTCAATAAACATGAACTATCAATTGCAGTCCTCTCATCTTGCAAATGCCGGCCTTTGGCTGAAACTTAGAAAGGGCCCCGCAAGCAGGCCCTGTCTTTGGAAACCTAAGGATATATAAAATGAGACTCCACGAAGATGAAACGATACCACGCAACTTCCATTTGCCTAAGTCCCCTAAAAACAATCCAGCAGTCATAGATTCGCTTTAACACCAACAGGGAAAAACACAAAAACACACATATTCTTAAGCAACCCTCACCCCCCACCAACTCCCCCCACCACCACCACCAGCACCAGCACCAGCACCAGCACCACCACCACCCGCCCGGTCGCGGGTCAAGCCGCAGCAACGCGTTGGCGGCCGCCAACAGAGCGCAGGGGCCGTTGCCTTGGACGGCTCCGGGACGGGACGGGACGGAGGGGTCCGGACGGGTTCTTCGCCGAAAAAACCGGGGGAGGTCCAGTTGATCCCGTTCTTTTGGGTACCTGGAGTCTTCTTCTGGCCCTTCAAACAATAAATGGTTGATTACCCCCCCAAAAAAAGGTCCTGGACCCCAGTTTTAAAGGGTCATGGAGAGTCTAGGTACTGACCCCCCATGGTTTTACTGGGCTGTCCGTTTGAAAAGATCGACCCTGCGATTTGTTTGTTTGACTGTTCGTGGGTGAAACTCGGAAAACAAATACTGCAGAAAAGCTGAACAGACCTAAAAAGGCTACGGAACCGGATGGCTGGGAGCCAAGAAAACTGGAGCTCGTTTTGAGCATCTCAGGTACCGTCCCTCCAATCCCTAGAAAACTCTGGTTTGGACAATTCCATGCTAATTGGTGGCAGGGTACACAGACAATAAGAGGGTCTGATTCTCTTTCATTATGTGTCGAGTTTAAAATATAGAAAAACCAACTTGGCCATGGGTCAAAACCGTACCTCCAAATCCACCCACTAAAATCCCGACTAAAATGGGTGGTGAATTCACCTACCAATCAAAAAAAAACATGGGTTTTGACACCCACAGCCACTTCTGTTGGAAAAGCCCGCAGCTCACCGGCTCCACATGGAAGCTGCTGAGGTTTCTAAGACTTCGCTTGATTTCCAGTGGCCTTTGTGGAGCTTCCTGGGAATGTGGCTGGGATAAAGAGGGACCTCCTGCAACAAGGTGTTTCACTTAAAGCTGAGCGGAAAAACACTCATTTTCCAAAAGTCGAACCACACCAATTCTGATATTGGGGCCGCTTGGAAGGAAAACGGGTTCCACCTGTTTCTCCCCCTCTGTTTGATACTCTTTTGTACTACCTTCAAGCGCGGGTTCACAGACTCGGTGCGTCCAACCTCAAAACTTTGTTCTTTGCAACGCGTCCGCTGAACAAAATGACCAACCCCCCAAAAGCAAACAACACATTAATTTGTTTCTGCTAAGACGAGCGAAGCTGTCTTGATCATAAGATGACTATGTAATATGTTCATCATGTCAAGGCTAACAATATTGTATGCAGCATAACATCCTAAAGGTTGAGATGTCCCTATCATAATCACTGATATAGATGTTTCTCCAACTACGCCCAAAGAATGGTGTGTTTCCCTTAAGCTCCCCGTTGCGAACCATGAGGGGCTCAGTTTTGGCCCGGGTGCCTCGTGTTTTTGGGTCCCTTCCTTGTGGTCAGCTCAGTTCCTGCGTGGATGGGCCAAACAAAGTCCAAGCCTTCCGTCACCATGGTCCTTGGACCCGAAAAGTGGCGCGACTCCGAGTTCCGGAGCTCGGGAAGCGAGCGACTTTCCTTCGGGTTCTCAGAGATGAACCGCACAGAAAGGTTCCAAGAGACACAGAAGGGAATGAATGAACTTGGAAACAGAGGTTGGCTAACAAGTGAATGGGAAGGAAAGGATAATATTGGCAATGGAAAAGCTCTGAACGCCTCCTGGAGCTCCGTCCGAGCTCTGTCCGAGGAGCGGTTCTGCAGCAGCAGCGGCACCTGCCGTCCTTGGAACTCCACCCGCCGCACCGAGAAGAGCTCCTCCGTCGGAACCCTTGAGCTGGGAAGGAGTGCTCACGAAGGTACGTAAGTGGTCAAGCCCTGGAACCACAACTTGAAACAGCTCACGCTTACCATGCTAGTTTGAGGGTGAAGTCTTTTATGGGTAGTTTGAGGGAGAAGGAGTACCGACTCTTTTCAGCGGAAGTGGAGCCTGGTCAAACATAGGTAGACAAGGAATCATGGTACCTTGAAAATGTGTGATTGCTCTAAAACCGCCACAAGGGGGGTGACTGCCCGTTTCGCTTGGGTAGGAGGACCCTTCATTTTCTTCCAGGACCTCTAAGACTTGGATCGGCCTTCTGGCAGCTTCCGGCTGTTGGTCTGAGCGAATGTACCCTCTTGTGGACTACCTAGATCCTCAAACTTCCAACTCAAAACTGGCTTATTGCCCAACCATGGGGTGAACTCCCCCTGTTTTGTGAGTAGTTTAAGGGTGCACGCACCCTCTTTCCAACACTGGACATGGGGCACCAAGCGGAAAGGGGGAAGTCGACTTTTCCAGAAGCCTCTTCTCCGCTTCCATAGGGAGGGTCTCCCGCCGTTTGGCTCATCAGCTGAAAGCTTTGGGTCTCAGCCCTGTCTGGGCTCCAGGGTGGCCACCAGGGCGGCCCTGAGGTAGGGTTCCACAACGGGGTTCCACCGTTCCACGAGGATTCCACGGAATTCTGCGAGGGCCGGGTGGTGCGAGCACTAAAACGAGCTGCGCACAAGATCCGCTTCGCGCCAGGTGGTGGGTCATGGTCTATCAACCAGTGCATGTCTGTCCATCCACCACGATTTATTTGGCACTGAGCCCACCAAGACCTCCAATTCCCAAAAGGAGATTCCTCTGACAGTTGCTTGGGTTCCATGTTCGTCTGGAGAGCAAGGCTCAGAGGATTGAGGGTCAACCTGCTGGCTGTTACAGAACCGGCAACATAGCGCCCCGTGAACTTCCCATGGCGCGCCTCAAAATCGGGTCCCCCAAATGGTTGGTGTCCCCAGATCAATATTCCCGGCCCCCGAAATGAGCATGCCCAACTTTTCCCGTATGGTTGCAAGATCACATCTTTTTCGCGGCTTCCCAAGCAATGCAATAATTTCCCATGCTCAAAAGGGACCATTTGATCAAGCCCCATGCTCATCGGTAGCGCCAGGTCGCCGGTGCCGCGCCCGCCCTCTCATCCCATCGGACCTTTTGATCAACCCCCATGTCTCCGTAGTGCCATGTCGCCGCATGTGCCACATTCGCCCTCTCGCTTCCTCTGCGAGAAAAAGAAGAAACAAAAAACAAAAATGAGAATCCGAAAAGAGGAACTTCAAAAAAAACACGGCTGGCGTGAATTCATCCAAGAAGAAAACACCGGTTCCCAGTCCCACTCCTCCTCCTGCTCCGCCTTGGGCGCCTCACCCGGCTGCGCGCCACTGGAGTCCCCCGATTGCTTCGCAAAGTGCTCCAGCATGCTGCGCTGCGCGGCCATCCACTCCTCGCCAGAGATACACCCGCCAGGAATCCCAAAAGAAGCATCAGGAATCCAAATCCGCACCCAGGAATCAGCCGAGGGAAATCTGCCATCCTTTGAAAGCCATCCTTCAAGAAGTCCATTATTCCCTAGGGTTCCTTGCCCCCAAAAGAATGGGAAGGACCCAACTTGTATGACGACAATCCTTAGGGAAATGTAAACAAAAAACGAGAAGACAAAAACAAGGGGAGAAAAAAACAAACAAAAAACACGAGATCTCAGGGCTTCGAGTGAGTAGCTCACCAGGCATTCTTACCTCTGGTTTTACATGATGTAAGTACCACAATAGTTTATAGTAGGTGTTCTTAATTGTTCTTAGCTCCTGGATTCACATGACGGTTTTCCTGGCTACCTACTCGAATGGTACCGGGAAGCGCTGGGAATCATCCTGCTTCGCTTGAGGCAAGAGCTTTTTCACCGCCCATTTCAGCGATTCTGGGCCCAGATCACACGGTCGCGGGACCCGGTTCTTGGCGAGGTCTGACTCCGGACCCTGGAACTGCGGCCTGCCCAAATTGAGGGGTGGGCATCAAGTGGCAAAGACTTTGCGCAAAGGCCTAGACAAACCACAGAGGCAAACAGTTTGTGGTGTTTTTCTGAAAGCTTTCCTTGCTCAGAGAGCTCCTCTCTGCCCTTGTGGAAGCAATCTGGGAAGTAGCACTGCAACACCCTGCTGGTGCAAGAAGATTCGCGGCTGGGACTGGCGATCCGCGTGACTCTTTGTGGCTCAAAATGGGGACGGAAGCCACGCGATGCGCCAACTAGTTCAACACAAGCTACCCTTTGAAAGCTGGCGAATGACGATCTCACAAACCTGGAAACCCTCAAAGGATACGCGCACACCACGTCCACACAGGACATGCTACTTCCAACTTGTACTCAACGGAGATATATGTGCGTGGGGTCTCTTTATTGGGGCCGCCTCTACATACAATACTTAGACAAATGGGTGGCTCACAATTCAAGAGCTAGGGCAAACCGCAGGTTTCAGACTTTGTTTCCATTTACCAAGGTGACATTTTGGTCCGTGCATCTGAGCCACAGCCAAATAGCTATGAAACCCGTCCGGCAGTGCTCCACCAGTCCTCATCGCCCTCCAAAGGCTCATCTTCAGCCGCGCCGGCGGCCGCCCGAGCCTTGTTCTTGGCCTTGGCCTTGGCTCCTTTCCGCTTGCCCATGCGCGCCGCGCGTCTACGCGCGGGAGCGATCTCAGGGGCGCCGCAGGGCACAATTTCAGCAGAGGCTCTCTGAAGAAGTGGCTGAAAAGAACCGAGGGATACCTTTGCAGCGTGGAAGGGATATCGTCAGCATGAAGAAGACCTTGGCAATTGAGAGAAACAAGGAATTATTTGCATGCTCGGTGCAGGAAGTGCAGCAACTCTGGAAAACAAAAGCTTTCCTACTTATATTGTATGTTAGTGAAGGGCAAATACATATATATATATATGTATGTATTATCACCCTATCACCCAGTGTTGATCCAGCCTCCGCGTGTCTTAAGGTCGAGTCTGAGGTTTTGTTTTTGCCAAGTCTAAACAGGTTCCTGTCTGTGTTTGGGTGTCTGTATGGCTTGAAGGCTAGGTGACTTTATCGCGCTGAACGCTGCAGCCGAGCGGTTGTTAGGGGGCCCTCCCCTTGCCGTAAGCTCAAGCCAACGGCTAGGACAGCTCCAGGTGATGCGAGCTTCCAGACCCGCGGTGGCCACGAGAAAAATGGGCACTCTGTTGTTGGCAGCTGTTTTTTTGAAGCAAAACGACTCCAAACAAATGAGCAGACTGGGAACCAAACTAACTACCAACCTTGCTTGCATCAGTATAGTATGTGGGTATCTCTTTTGTGAGGGTACCCCCGTGTTGGTTGCTTTTGAAGGGAAACCCAAAGGAGAAAACCACCAGTTTTGGGGTCGGTCAAAAAAAAACCGATCCGTATTTGTTCCGTCACTGCAACGAGCTTCCCATCGCTGTCGCACCTGGCACCAGGCCACTTGGTGGGGCCATTCGCCACAAGACTCTTCAGCCAGTCCGTGTTGAGCCTCAATCCGACGGCACGGGACCCGACGTCTTGGAGGAAACAAACACGCGGCAGCGCCACCTATGATTCAATGGACACCTATCCAGGGTTCCCTGTCAACTGACAGCACCAGGGAAAAAGATGGAACACTGGCCAGAAAGACTGCAAGCCAAGGCAACAAGTTCTTTTTTAGGAGGCCTGACTTGGCGCCCCCATTTCCAGTGTATTGTCTGACCACGTGTCAGAAACAACTCAGCCATGTATTCAGTCCATCCCAAGAATATGTAAAATAATGATAATACTAATAACAAAAAACAAACAAAAAACGATTTGGTAGAAGACCCCTGAAGTCAAGTGAACCATCCAACTTCCCGATTTCCGCCATATGGCACAACGCCACCTGAGATGCTGGCGGCGTGACACGCTCCGGGAAGGTCAGGTTCAGCGCCACCGACCTGGCGCGACATGATCCACGGGCCGTCGATCAGAGCCCCGGCGATTCGTAGGGCCAACAAACCCGCAGCACGCGACGGTCGTAGTCCGGCGAACTGACATGGAACTCCGAGCACAACTTGCCATTTGAGCAGTCTGGGCTCCCTGCGAAAAGTTTTTCTGCCTGGTGAAATTCAGACACCCGCACAGTGAAGCAATTAAAAAGCTCTCAAAAGCTAAAGAACCGGATGGCTGGCAGCCGCTTTTTCAAGGGTCACTGGATTCCCCCCTTCAAATGTTTATCATTTTACTGGGGGCATGAATTGAAACTGCCACTTTTGAAGGTTCCAAAGAGGGTTTATATAGATCAATGTTGTGTGGGAAGCAATTTTGGTTTGGACAAAATGTGGTTGGAACCCTATGAAAGGAGGGAAGGAAGCGTAACTAACAACATGACATCGCCAAAGCGTCCTCCTCTACAGTTCTGGCTGGCATTAGGACCCCAGCAAAATAAATATATATATATATATACATGTTTTTGCCTGGTGAGAAGAGAAATGGGACCCCAAAAAGCCAAAACACGGAAAAAGGGGAGCTAATTCTGGGGAAGAACTCAACTGCAAGCGTAAAAAACCACACACATTTCAATCTACCATCAAGGGGGCGCCGCATCGAGATTCGCAACAGCTAACTCATCCCATGTCTGTCTGGACATCTGGCCATGGGTCAAAAGCCCAAATTCCGGTCAGCCCCCAGTGAACATCCCAATCCCACCACTAAAATAGGTTCTAAAAAGGGTGGTGAATTCACCTATCCCCAAATGGTACCATTGGTTTTGAACCATGGCCTGAGTGGAAATCCGCTCAACTCGCAAACCGGAAGTAATTAAGCAGCTCTCAGAAATGGATCTCACTGTGCGTGAGCTCGGCTTCACCCCCAGTTCACGTTTTTTTTGCAATCCTTTGCAAGGGATGACGCCCATGAGAAGCTCCAAAAAGGCCGTTTCCCCAGCGAGCAGGGCTGAAACGACAACTGGAGGGGCTTCCCAAAGACGAGCCCCACATTTCTCCAAGGGAGATTACCCAAGAGTATCACAAAAGTGGTTGGAGAAACCCCGAGTGATCCACCACAACCCGAGTGATCCAAAACCGAGCGTGTCCCCCAAAAGGAAGGAAACAAAAATGGCAACTCAAACTCCCGGAGTGATCCCACCGAGTGTATCCCGCGAAAAGAAGGAGAACAAAAACAACAACCAACTAACCAACCAACCACCTGCCAGGGTTAGCTCTGTGCCAGGGCTAGGCAAAAAACAACACCCTGTCCAGAAAAAAAGAAAAGAACAAAAACACGGCAACCCAAAACCCCCCGAAAGGAAGGATAAAAATGGACAATCCCCGAGTGATCCACTACAACCCTCCAAACCAATCGAGCGTCTCCCCCAAAAGCCAGGAGCAAAAAAACAAACCGCGGTAACCCCAAGAAATTCCCCCAAAACCCGCGCCTGGGCACGCCCACCTGCTCGGTATCCAAGTTGGGGTCCCCCCCGATGACGCTCCGCGCGCAGAAGTCCACCTCGAGCGAAGGGCTTCGGAGCGGAACCGGGGGAGGAGTTCACCACCCAGAGGCTCCAGTGTTCGATGGAGTTCGGCCCAATTCTTTTTCTCTTGCCCAGTGGTGCCTCTTTTTTTTGCATTTTCTTGGGGAAGCGGTCCCCTTCAAGCTCAACCAACAGCAAAAAGAAAGGGTGCCGTATTTTGCAACCACCCAGAGCAGAGGCTCCATTTCGATTGATGTAGGGCCCTCAAAGAACCAGGTCTTGAGACCCCGAACACCGGGTGTCTAATGGAGGTCTTCCCAAGGCCGAAGCCAGGAGCCTCTGGGCAAAACACCCCGTGCGGATGGTGCGCGTGAAAAACACGGGCGAGCCAGTTGATTTTGGTGGTTGAGCTACGACAATAAACAGGGTGCGCCGTTGATGTTGGTGGTTGAGTTGCGGCAAAACACAGGGCGCACCCTTGATTTTGGTGGTTGAGGTACGGCAAAACATAGGGCGCGCTGTTGATGTTGGTGGTTGAGGTACGGGAAAACAGGGGGCGCGCCTTTGATGTTGGGGGTTGAGTTAGGGGAAAACACAGGGCGCGCCGTTGATGTTGGTGGTTGAGTTACGGAAAAAACACCGGGCGCCCGTTATTTTTGGTAGTTGAGTTAGGGGAACGCCGTCAAGCAGAAAACTTGAGGTGCGGAGTCATCCAGAATGCAATCATGCTCTTCGCCGTGAAACTCACCAGCACCGAGCAAACGATCAAAACACGTACCGCAACAAGTGAACAAATTACCATTACAAAACCGGAACATACTTGCAACGTGCGAAAGCCAAGCTTGCAACATGCTCAGGTGTTCAAAGGGACCTGGACACAAGTTTCCATCCCTTTCAGCGCCACGACTCGAATAGTTAAACGTCGATGGTAAAGGCGTCGCGTTTGCAGTACATGGTTGTGTTTAGTTTTTTTTCTACTGTACCCCTTTTGGGTTAGTTGCAGGGAAAACCCACCATCAAGTCAATCTTTGGCCATGCTTCCACAACTCAAGTGGCTCCTGACAAGGCCAGGTAAACATCTGTACGGCACTAACAAAACTGAGGTGTGGCTTGCCAAATTGAGATCCTGATGCTAGCTGCCCCAACCCCCTCTCTGACCAATGGCCCAGATGCCAAGCTTCACAATTCGGGGCTGGGCGAGCCGCCCAAGCCGGAGCCAAACTGATCCGACCCGAAACTGATGCGGTCGAAAGGGATTTTTTGTTCCGAAACCGAAGAGGCACGAAACAGGGGCACAGGTGACGGCGGTCAGTCTGGCAATGCTCTGGTGCCTTCAAAGTAGAACTGAAACCGTTTCCCTGGACCCTCGAACTACCCCCCCAAAAAAAAAACTCGCCCCATATGTTTGGGGCTATAAGAAAAGTCTTAATGGACTTTTGAGGGTTCAGGTCAATCCACGATGTGAATACTCATACCCAATGCACTTGACAGTTGCCGGGCCTCCGAGGAACCAGTCAAGCGCGGCAGCCATTTCACTTGTGAGGTTGCTGTCGAAGGACCAATCGACTTGACAGTCACCCCACTGCAATACTCAACCAACCTCCCCTCCTTCCCCCGTTCCCGTCTTCTTCCAGGGACCTTTTTAGAGGGGACTCCTTTTCATGGAGACCGTGAACTGGGGAAGATATTGAGCAGTAGAGCTCGAGAGATCCACTTTCACGGAAAGCATCGCCCCGACTCCGCACAGGCTACGGTACTCCCGCACTGGCAGTCCCTGTTCAAACACTCCGGAAGGGAATATTTTTCATTGATGGCCCCCAGCATCTGAGCACTTGGCGGATGGATAGGTGCTTTCTCTACCCAAAGTGAAGGACTCGGGTTTCTAAAGGTCAACATCTCAGAGTTTCGGACCTGGAACAAACCAAGGAGCACGACAAAAGCTTGGAAAGGGCCACGCTTTTCCAACCAAAAATGGCCCAAAGGACAAAAGCCGTCCCCCAAAACCCAAAACGGGCCAGGGAGCTCCAAAACCAGAGGCGATGGTTTTCTGAGGGGCCGGCCCGCTTCCCCATCAGGGTGCCACGTAGGCGGCCCTCCTGAAGCGCTTGAGCGGTTTGTCCAAGCGAAAATGAAGCTGAAGAGGACCTTCCAATTCCAGGTCCTCCAGTAGAGAGGAAATAATAAGGGTACCAACTTTTTTCTGTAGTCTATTTTAGTAGGAGAACCCTCCCCCCAAGGAAGGCTGAAAGGGCACTACTG